TTATAAGACACTAAGTGCATGTATGCATATTTGACAAGCTGTATGCAATGCTTCTGAGGATTTACAACTATTTCAAAAGGAAATAACGACAAAATTCTTAGGAACTAAGACTTTGTTCCCCTTCTTCTTCTCTCTCTCTCTCTCTCTCTCTCTCTCTCTCTCTAGACATAATCTTCTTCTTCTTTTTCTTCTTTTTTGCCGAATTCCCTCTAGACATAATCAGTCACTTCTCCATACTTTTTTTATTTTAAAATTAACTTTGCAGATCTTACAAAATAAAACCACTTTACAAATTTTATAGTCATTAAAGACTTCAGGCTACTCTGTAACGGATCTGAATGACCAAAAATGTCTATAAACTATAGAATCTTGGGACCAGTTTGGTTGTGGTTTTATTTTTTATTTTTAAAATCAGTTTTGCTATATAATTTTTAAAATTATTTTCTTTTAAAAAAATTTGTTTGATTGTATTAATTTAGAAATAGTTTCAAAATTAAAATTTTGATAATATTGATGGTCACTAATGGTTAATAGTGGTGGTTTATGTGATAATGATTGTCCAAAATTATTGTGGTTCTCAATTATTAATTATAATGTATTTTGAAAACAAGAAAATAAAACAAAGAACAACTTATAAATATTTTTATTTTAAGAAACAAAAATAGAACCCTTTAAAAAATTAAATTCAAAATGGTTACCTAAACAATTTTTTTGTTTTTAAAAATAAATTTAAAAAAAAAACACCAAACAAGCTCTTATTTTCTCACTTCTTGTTTTGTAGAAGAGAGTAGAACATATTGCAAGTTGTTTAGTTGATTAAAAAGGATTTGAATATTTATTAAATACTGTCAAAGATTTTAATTAATTTTATAAGTGAAAAAATACATTTAGGGAACTACTTTCATTTGAATTTGACAATTTTTGAATATGATATAATCATTAAATAAGGTCAAAAAAATAGCCGTCAAGTAAGATCTTTTCTGTAATAGTGAATCCAATAAGTCTCATACCAGATAATTGTATTAAAAAAGAAAAGAAAAGAATGCAACATGATGAATGAAGGCCTATTCATATGGATAAATGTATCTTCCACTTCTCTCTTTTAGATGACAAATACATACTAGAGAGGATCACAATGAATTATAGGTTGTAATGGATTTCTACTTAAATATTTGAAGTTTCTTGAAATTAAAAATATACTTTAAACCGTTAGATTTATTGGAATATAATGGCTCAAATCAGCAGGGCAACACTACATGCACACATGAAAACTTTAGATAGACACGCACACAATATTGTCTGATAATGGTTGATAAATGTTTTTATGCCAACCTCAGATTATTGAGGGTTTAAATCTTAGATTCATCCCTCTTATTAACATGTTAGTGGCCAGAGTTTTGATGTCGACCTCATCGCCAACCACGGACCTCCGACCGTCGCCAGTGTCGACAGCTATATATAATTGAGATAGGATTTTTTTTAAAGATAATTGTGTAAATGCATTTTAATTTTTAATTTCATTGAAATCTCATTTTCATAAAAAATGATTAAAATATTTTAAGGAATGAAAATTTCTTAATGTAGTTAAGACTGTGAATACAACTTGGACTTTATAGGCTTGACCTTTAAAAGCTCAAACCTATAAACTTGCATATCTTAAGTTGATTATGTTTTTCAATCTTCTTGTTGAGAGCCTGCATAATTTTTTTATTTAAAATTTTAATCGTGTTCAAACAGAGTTTAAAAAATTGTGTCCTTTTATCAAATAATTTCAACTATGGTATTTTACAATATATTAACAATTTCAACCAAATAACTTTCAATAATTTCAATGATATGGTTTTTGTTGTTTACTCACATATTTTGTTATTAAAAACAATTATATTAAAAATATTATTGAATATTAAATATGAACATTTAAAAAAAATTAAAACTTATAAGAGTCGTGTTTAAAAGTCTTGTTATGTGGAAATTGTTTTAAGTCCGATGGTCTAAATGAGTAGGTCCAAAAATCCAGTGTTTGTCGACAGGTGTCAATGCAAGGGACCTAATTCATGCCACGTGTCACGCAGCCAGACTTTGTTATGCCAAACGGAGGAAATAAAGAAGAGTGAAGTAACAAATTTGATTACAAACAGTATCTAATAGTTTAAATTATTAGATGGTATAGAATAAATTATGAATTTTTAAAAACAGAGTATACAGTAACCCGCTATTAATTTAAGCTAACGGATATTATGCAAGGCCCATAATGACACATGGCACAATTTGGGCGCAACACGTCAGCATGGTAAATGTGTAAATTTAGCCACGAACTATTTTTCTAGGAGTGCCAGGTAGCCTTTACTGTAAAAAAATGGCTCATCCAACACCCTCCTCTCAATTATGACTGAACACCATTTATTTTTATACTTATGAGGCTCATAAAGCATTAATCTCTCCAATTTTCTTATCTTCATTCTCAATATAAGCTCTAGAATAAGAGGTTCAATGAGTTTTTATCTGAAGATATTCACAAAGATGATGCTAATGAAATATAAGCTTGATTTTACTATACATGAAAAAAGCTTGATTCTAGCTTAATTTAGTCATGAATTTTTTCTTTTACTTTGTTAGCGTCGTCTTCGTGAATATCTTTAAATAAGAACCCTTTGAACCTCTTCTTATCGAGTTGAGATTGAGAAAAAGGCAAGAAGATGGAGAGATTAATGCTTTGTGGGCCTCATAAATATGAAAATAAATGGTGTTTGGTCAAAATTGAGGGGAAGATGTTGGATGATCAATTTTTTTATGGTAGAGGCTACCCAGCGCTATTAAAAAAATAATTTTTGACTAAATTTATACTTTTACCATGCTGACGTGTTGCATCCTGTGTCGTGCCACGTGTTATTATAGGCCTCACATAACATCTGTTAGCTTAAGTTAACGACGAGCTACTGAATATTCTGTTTTTAAAAATTTATGATTTATTTTACACTATTTAATAATTTAGATTATTAAATATTTTTTTAAAAATAATTTATAGTTAAATTTACATCTTTATTCCACAAAGAAAGGAGGATTTAAGGGCTTCATGTGCACCACGTTAGCTGGTGTCATACCTGTACCTTTTGATAAGGCTCAGCTTTGATTGTCCCCTTTCTGCCTGGAAAAATAAAATACACACTCCCTTGAAAGTGAAAGCTTTTGCTTTTCAAAATAAATCAAAATTAAATGAGTTGGATTTAAGGTTTTTATATCAATCAGAGTGAGGGTGAGAGGCTGAGAGATTTGAATCTTTATTCTTCTTTTTTAAAAAAAAATTATAAAAATAACCTTAATATATATTATTGCTTTATACTATTACTTGTTGAAAACTTGAAATAGAGCATCGTGAAAATTTACATAATTTTTATATAATCATTTTCTATCCAATTTTATCAAATCATTTTTGGATGTTATCAGCCGGGAATCCAGTTGTTAGGAGTAACTCTTTCAACGTGGTTTTTTTTTAAAAAAAAAAAATCTATTCATAAGATTTGAATTCTTGTTTAAAACGAATTTATATAAAGTTATATGGACAAGTGAGTCGCTTAACATGTGGAAAATACTCAAACAAAAAAAAATAAAATGGTAGGAGTAATATATATTTCTATTCCAATCATAAAACTATAATATATATTGACATATCTATTTTCTTTTACAGCAAAAAGGAATAAAGCATTTTCATTCTCCTTAACAGATGCCCCCTAATTTTAATTTGCATAAATAGAAGAAGAAGAAAATGAGAGAGCTAGAATTGTTCATACAATATATATACAAATTATGAGGAGTAGAAGTTATTATTTAAAAAAAAACAAAAAAAGAATGAGATGTTATTATGGAGAGGTAGGGGAAATAATTTTGAGCGTCAGAGACACATGGGGCTTGCCGGGGTGCCAAGAAGTGAAAGTGGAGTCACCTGGAGGCGGTACGTGTTTGGAGCCGGTACCTATTCTTCTTCTTCGTACTCACAATAATTGAGCCTCTCTCTTTTTTTTTTTTTTCTCTCTCTTCATCCTATGCCACTTCCTCATCCCTTCTCTTCCGTTTGGCTCCCAAAAGTTTGTTCCTCCTAGTCCCTGCAAAATACTACCTGCATTTCCTTCATTGTAATCGGAGTTTATAGAAATCGAGTTCTTGTGCTTTTTGCAATGATAAAGAGCAGCAATGGAGGTTGGAGAAGCGGGCAATATTTTAACTAGAAACCCCACATCTTAAGTCATAATATCTATACTCCCTCCATTTTTATTTGTAAAAAAAAAAAAACTGTATCATATAGTTTAAGAAAATTAATTAATTATATTAATTGTATCTAAAAATAAAAGAATTAGACTATAATATATTTTATTAATTGTGTTAATTAAACTATCATTAATTATTTTTTATGACTATCAATAATAAAATTATAAGGGGTAATTTAAAAAGTTTGCAATAAATGTTTATTGAAAAATGTGATTTTACTTATATAAAAAATAAACTAAAAATAATAGTTTTTCTTATAAATAAAAACGAAGGGAGTATGCTCGAGTTTATAAATATTTCTTATTTATTATATATTATTAATTATTAAATTTAATTCTATCTTATGTAAGACTTTTCATATTGGCGCAAGTTTATTTATATTGGGACAATCTAACAAATATAAATTTAATTACTTTAAATTTTTATTTTCAAATAATAAATGATTTTGAAAGTGACAATCAGAATACTATATATTTTTATTTTAGATTATAAATCTATTGAAATAAAAAGGTGTTAAATGGTAAATTAGCTCATAAACAATAGGTCTAGGATGATAAAGATCCTAAACTTGCTTTTAGTGCAATACTCTCTTTCAAGTTTTAATTTTTAAAAAACATTACAGTATTTATATCATTAATAAAAGTTAATTTTAACTTTTAATTGTCTAGAAAATGACAAAAAATGATATAAAATGATGAATAGAATTTTTTTGGTCTTTTTTCTTGTAATTTTTTGAATTATTATCTGTAATTTTTGATATTTTTTATAACTTTTTATATTTTTTATGATATTTTCTAATTAATTAATGACCAATGTTAATTTTTATTAATGGTATAGAAGACATCGGATCATTTTCAAAAACATGTTTAGGCCTTTGAAGTCTCGTATGCCTCTAAACTTTTTGTTTAGGGATAAATTTGTCATTTAATTCAAATAAAAATATATAAAAATATAAAGATAGAGTAATATTAATCTTAGACAAGTGTCTCAAACTCGACGCTCTACGCCAAGTGATGAGCACTCAAAATCATTCTAAGTTCCCAATCTTTTCGATTTTTGGTTCATATTTAATATAAAGTTTCAAATGAATGGTTAAATCATATACATTTCGATACTATTGAGATGCCTTGAGCATGCGATGCCAAAATATGTGAATATGATATTATGAATACACAGTTTTGTTTTTTTGGGAATATATATGAGAGGCATAGAAGAATGTCGTGTTATATACAATATTATTTATAGGTATGAAGAATGGGGAATATATATACCAAGTTACTTGTTTCAAGTTGTGTCCATCAATAAACTTGAAGTCAGCAAATACACCACCATCCCATAGGCCAAGCTTTTGTAATCCTTCCCTGCTCCCTGTCAAACACCACGTTTTTTCCAATTATTACTATACTTGCTGCAGATTACATTTATCGGAGTAATTTTTTAAAGAAAAATATATAAGAAATTTAAATATAAAAGATTGTTATAAAATCACAATATTACTATGAATTTCTATGTTCTTTATTAATGTTTTTAATTTTTATATTGATGTAATCAATTATTACTAAATAGTTTTTTATGGAGGTGTTCAATTAACAACTTTCCAGTAGTAATAAATAATTTTAATAAAAATACAGAATTGTAGAGTAATTTTATGATTTTTGAGTTTTATATTTAAATTATTTGCACGAGACATGAGAGTAATTTTTTTTAATATATCAGTTAATCTCAAGAAGCCCTCACTAATTCCAGTCCAAACAAATCAAAAAAATTTTAATAGCAATTTTCTAATAACTAGTGATTACTGAAGCCTGCACGTCCTGTTCTGTAAATTGAATTTTTAAAATATATTAATGTTTATGATGTTAATTTTTTCAGGCCAAAAAAAAAAAATCAATGGTGTATATTACCTGCCTAGTTTATCTTTGTCTTCAAAGTCAAATTTAAGACTAGTGTTAATTTTTAGACGAACCTGAACTTTTCATTTCTTGATTTCGGCCGACTTAAATTTTCCTTAAGCAGTACAATCTTAAATACTACCAACAGTTGGGGTTAATTAAAACTATAATTATTCTCATAAGCTATATTAAGTTTTCACAAAGCTGAAAGCGAAGGGGACGAATCTTTTTACCTTAGCAGCGGAGGAGGTAAGATCAACCGAAGCATCTGAGGACGATGAAGAAGAAGACGACGACGACGATTTAATATTAGAGAGCCCTACATCGTAAACCATGCTTTCGTCAGGCTGAAACAGCCCATAATTCCTCTCTGACGTCGGCCCATCCTTCAAATCCTCATTGAACAACGCAAACAGATACACCTCCAGGTTCATTCTTGGCCTCAGAGGCGTCCCTTCGTTCGCAATTTGCCTTCTCAACAAGTTCCCGTTATACGTCGCTGCATTCTCAGCGCTCGCCCCTGATTCATCGGAATCGCCCTTGGACGGCCATCCTGTCTCCGATACTTTCACTTCGATCCCGTCGTAACCCATTTTCTCAATCGCGAAGACAACCGCGTCTACCATGGCGTATAGCATGTTGTCGTAGTGTAGATTGGTGACTGGGTCCACCATTCCTTGGCTGGGATTGAATAGAACGTACTCGAGTGGGATTTGGGACGGTTCGTCCTTGTAAGCGAAGAATGGGTAGGCGTTGATCCAAAATGGGGATTTCGTGCTTGACAAGAAGTCCAAGAATTGAGTCATGATCTCGGAGATTTCGCTCTTGAAGCTGCCGTTTGATGGAGGATAGGATTGATCGAGAACCGCTAAGGAACTCGGGGTCGTAACCATGATGTTTGTGTTAATGCCGAGCTGAGAAATTGCATTGTGAATGTTGACAACTGCAGGTACGAGGTATTGAATAAGGGTTGGGTCATCATCGGTGAAGACTTCGTTTCCTACTTGGATTCCTGTGATTTTTGTGGCAGGAACGAACGGTTTGATGTGGGTGTTCACCCATTGAAGTGCTTGTTGAGGATCGTCTAGCTGGTTGAGTATTTCGTTTTCTACTGTGACAATGAGCTCAATGTCCGAATTGGCAAAAGCAGACAGAACCTGAGGATTGGTGTCGTAGATTCTTGCTTTTGTGAGCTTAAAGGATGTCAAGAGTTCGACCACTTTTCCTGGTGGTGGCAAGTTGTCAGCCACTTGGCCATAGTTAATCCCAAAGGAAGCCACTCCAAGTAAGAATCCTCTATCTGTGATCGAACCAGTAATACTGAAATCAGTTAGTGGTACTGCAACTAAATATGATCCCATCTATATATATATATATCATGTTAGTATCTGATTCCTTCTTTTTATCTAGAACAAAGTAAGAAAAAGTTAGAGAGCAAAAACTAGAATCAAGCAAATATGCAGAGCAAAGAGCAAAACAGAACGATAGGAAACCTGAAGAGAGGAAAAATAGAACAAGAAAAGCATAGCCAATAGCCATTCTTCTGACAAATGTTGCCATTGTGAGAGACTCTGAAATTGAAGAGTTCTTAAATGGAAGAGAGGGTGGGGGTATTGTAGGCGGATGTATTCCTTTCTTTTCTTGTATGAATATTTTGGAGTCAGAGAAGAAGAAGCAGGTGAAGGTAACAAGACGATTTGTTTGTAGTTCTTTTGAGGGCCTGGCTTGCACTGGTAGTGTTGCTGCCTCGGCCTGTCATGCTCTTACTTCCTCCAAGTGGTTTTTTGATGTTTTATAGTTTCCCAAAATAGCATTCTTTTTTCTCACCCAAGTTCCAAATTTTTTGTAGTTTCTTTTTACCTAAATACACTCTTTAAGTCACTTTCTTCGAGTGAAAGGAAGAGAAATCCCACTTTGGTAGGTTAAATATTTGAGGCAAGTTATTGTTGCAGGATCCCAAAATTTGAGGTAAGGTGCAATATTTAGTTGACCTAATAACGAGAGATTCTGTATAGATAGTGTAATTTTTGTTATATAATAATTGTGCGTTTGTGTGTTACATATACTTATACCTTATTTAATACGCTACTTATGGAGGCAACTAGGAGGCATGTACCTGTAATGCTTTTGGGTAAGAAGACAATGGGGTTGCTGGAATTGACCCTTTTTGACTTGGAGATGCCTTCCCATAGGAAAAATTTTGAGCAATAATGATATCGATGGACCCTTTTCTTTTTCTTTGTACTGGGGAATCATGTATTTTTGTAAAATAATGAGTATCTTAGTATCTTCAAGTACTTGCTATTTAATAGTGATTTAAGATCCGGTTGGTTTAATTTGTTCAATCTTTTTTTTTTTTTTTGGTAGCGAGATGAATGGGTGAGATTGAATTGTAGATTCGTCTTTTTCGTTGACCATCCCCCAAAGAGAATTCTTGTAACAAAAGATCTTGCGGGTTGCTGGCAACTTAATAGTACAAAGATATCCTCTGATTAAAAAAATTATAAAAAATATTTCTCGATTTATTTTTTTAAGTATATTCTCAACCAAACACAATTTCTCATGGCTGCACGGCAAGTAAAAAAAAATTGAGTCACATTGTTTATAAATTGCAAATAACATGTATTTGTCGATTCAGTATTTATATAGATATACAAATAAGCACTATCTTAATTTAATATTTAACAAATGAGTATTCTTGATTTTGAAGAACAATATTATTAAAGGAGATATGCTTTGACTAGTTATTGATCTGCTCGAACCCTTGTTTTTCGTTAATCTAGTTATGACCAAGATTTCATAAAATGTGAATGAACTGGACACTTGGACCAGTTTTGTGCTACTCACTTTCTAAATCTGAGGTAATAATCAAATCAGAGACGAAACCAGCCGCATTTAAAAGTTGACTATTGATTTGCCCAACGATTATAATCTTTGGATCAGTTGGACGAGAAACTCTTGCTTGGATCAGAATTTGTCCGATTTGACAATTTTGAAGGGCCTCAAGTTAAAAACAAAACAAAACAAACAAAAGGGAAGGGCCCCAAATGGTATTTGCTTTTGGTTAATTAACATTTATAACTAAGCATATCCAAACGTTTCAGGCAGTGATTAAAAAATTGAATTGAATTGGACAGTCGGATTATCGAGCGATCAAGCTAATGGCTCAGTCAAGCTAAAATATTGTTTGGAGAGTTGGACTGTTTTGAACCGACGGTCGGATCAGAAACCATAATCAAGTTGGGAATCAGATCCGGTTTTTAAAAACCGGACTATTCAAAAAATGCCCTTTTTATTTTTTTGTCAAATTTTTTTAGATCATTTAATGTTATATTGTATTATGTGACTTACTAAATCATGATAAACTTAAAATATTTTGTTTTATTTTTAAGTTAAGTGACAATTTCATATTTATTTCTTATATTTAAATTTTTATATACATATTTTTTTTTAATTTAATTATTACGTCACCGGTTCGACTATTGGTCCAACCCGGTTCGACCATGCAAATCGCTAACTTTTTTAGTTCAATATTCAGTCCGATTATGAAAACATTGGCTTCAGGATACTAGGTGTGAAAGAAAAAAAAACATTTATAACCCTCCTTGAATTTAAATTTAACATGGGGGCAGATAAATTTTGAATTATGATGTGTTCAATTAAATCAAATATTTTGTTTTAGCTTAGATAGGTTTTTAAAGAAAAAAACAGTAATTATTGGGTTTAGCAGAAGGATTTTATCTCTTATACTGCAACGAACATGCAAATTTGGTCTAGTAAACGAGCTGGCTTTAGCTAGTAAGTCCTTTTTTTATTTATTTACATCTTTTTCAATTTCTTAAAATTTTAATTTTTATATTATAATATTACACATTTATTTTTTTAAAGTATATGTTATAATGTTCTAAAATTAAAAATAAAGAATATAAATTCTATTTTTAAAGTAAAAAAAATTCAAAGTCTACATTTAATTTAAAAATCAAACATGTCTGATTTTTTTAAGGGTAAAACTAAATATAGCCTAAACAGGTAGCCTGAATTCAAGCTCAATTTTTGAAGGCTTATGCAGATGAGGAAAACACATCTTAATTTTTGAAGCCCAAACCATAAAAATAACAAGTTTAAACAGATAGGCCGATAAGTTCAATTCATATTCTTGACTCTAATTCAAATCTTTATTAAAAGTACTCATATTCAATAGTTGATCATGTCTTGTATAAAATTGCCTCCAATAAAAGAATATGTGTAAACAATGAGAGAGAGAGAGAGAGAGACTGTTTGGGGGGGTCAATTATTAAGTAAAGAATAAGAGTGTGAAAGCAAGAGGGGCACACATTGCAAGTAGCGAAAAGGAACTATGAATTGGTACGCGTACGACTGAAGTGTAGAAGATGTGAGTTGTGCTTTCAAGACTACAGAGTTCTGAAGCTGAGACATTAAGAGGGCAGAGACACAGCGAGAAAACATCGCCGCTAGTCTCACAAATAATAAATGGATAACTCTAACATGCAGGGCCTCTCGTTTCATTGGCTTCAGGGTTTGTTTGTTTTTTTGGTTTCAAGGCTCTAAATTTACCAACCATATTAATCATGTCCACAAAAAGGTGTGTTTGAGATCCAAAGAATTGATCCTTAATGTTGATGGTTTATAAATAGTGCTGCTATATTATTTTAATGAATTTTCTGTTGTTTTTATGTATAATGATGATGCGGCTGTATAATTAACTTGTTTTAATTCCATCCATGCCCAAAAAAAATGTGAATCTCATCATTTCACTCTTCCTTCTTCTCTTCTTGATGAAATACAAGAAAAGGAAAAGGCATGGTGATAGATATGTCTCATTTGATTTGAAAGGTAAAACTTATTAGTGTACTGTTTTTATGTCTGTTCAAGTTTTTGTATCGACATCCTCTCATTCATTGTATAAAATTTAAAAATATGAGTTGTATTATTGTTTTTAGTTTATAATTGGTATGATTTTTTAGAGTTTTTGTATTGTATTGTCTCTAATTTTATGATATTGACTCTTTCTTTTGACAAAAAGTAAAATTAGCTGCAAGAGTTCAATAAGGGAGGGGAAAAAAATCAATAAATCCAAATCTCTCCTGAATGGTTAGAAAAGTGAGATGTGAGATGGTTATAAAACTTTGATTCCTTTCAAATCGCTCACTTGGCTCAATCACACCTCCAAATTCCAATCCATCTTCTAAATCAAGCCCTTTTTTGGGTCAGTTTGATATTATAAAATATTTAAGGGGAAATGGAAAATGAGGGAAAATTTGATTTCTAAGGAATAGAGCTTTTGGGAATTAAATAAAATTCTATTATAAAATTTGGTTGGCGCGTGAATTAAAATGATGGAAATGAATACTCACTATATGAAAAGATAATAATATTTTTAAAAGAAAATTAATCATTTATCACTTATATAGTTTTGATTTAGTTACATCTCAGTTTTTGAAAATTTATCTATCCAACTCAATTTCTTAAATCCCACCAAAGACAAATCTTTCAATTTAGTGGGGAGTGACATGAAGATGAAAGATGGGGTAGGAAAATTTTGGGAAAATTTGAGTGTGTTATACAAGTCAAACAAAACAATATGATGTTAGGGATTTATGACATGAAATTGGGGTTTTAAGAAAATACTTATCCTTGAACCAATTCAAACCAATTGGTATGTGCATTTTACTTGAAACGCTACTTAATTATAGGACAAACCAATGATGAATCCAGAAATTCTTTTATGGGGGTCATAATTAAAATTTTATTTAAAAGTGGCGCTAAAAGTAATTTCAGCATTTTTCACAAATAATAACACACTCATTTGCAAAAGAAATTTTGAAACATGGGGCCACGGCCGTGCTAGCCCTTCTTAGATTCGTCATTAGGACGAACTTATTATAATTCTATTAGATCCAAACTAGAATTAACCCCTTGTGCATTGCATGGGAAATTTTGTGCATTTTCACGAATGGAGGCTAGTTAGTTGATTTTTTCCTTAAATATAATCACGGTAGTTATATGTAATTTTCACGCCAGCATGTTACTTTTATGTAATTTCAACATGATCAGAGTTTGTGTGCAATTTTCACGTGAATAAAATACTTCTATGTAACTTCCACGTGGTAGGATAATTTTATGCAATCACCATACAACTAGCTTTGTAGTTTGAAAGTTACAAATATGAAATAACTACACATGCAAAATTTACAAGTTACATATAAATACCCCATGTGAAAACTACCACGTGTGGAATTTCTTCACGAGCATGGTCCTTATACGTCATTTTTGCATGATACGAAATATATGATAGAACCAGCTTTTATCTTAGCCGATCTCACATGTCACTTCTTCCAACAATTATTATCAATTGTTCACAAAAATCTAACTTTTAGACAGATCAAATTCTCCTTTTGATCGAGTTAATTGTTCACACTGAGCTAATTAAGCATTAGAAAAGAATATGAATTCTAATTGATTTAGAAAAGGTCAGGAAAACAAAAGGGTCATGTGGTGGATATATGATATATGCATGATCAAGAAGAATATAAAGCTTACAGACATGATAAAAGTACTTTTTGATAAGATGACGAACAAAATTTAGCTAAATTCACGGTTGGTGG